GGTTTGATATTCTTAGGGAGGAGGAGGGAGAGGTCCACACACCGCCACATACAGCTTCACCCACGTTCACTTTCGGGATTCAGAAGCCTGCCCCGGGCTCGTCGACGACTACTTCTGTGAGTGTTAAGGGGAAGGAGACCGAGTGGCGGGTGTTTTCGAGTAAGAAGAAGCAAGGCCAGATGACTACCACTAAGAGCTCGACCCGGGTGGGTCAAGGGGAACCTTCTGGTAGCCGTATGGAAGCGCGTGACAGAACTGTACTGGGGATGGGGCTACAAGACCCGAAAAGTCAGACCTTAAGTGCTCGTAGCTCACCATTGTCGGAAACTTCTCGTGATGTCCCTCAGACGCCGCTTGGCCCTTGTGTGGCGACGGTAAATTCCACTTTGGACTCTTCTAAGCATCGAGTGGTCCATGTGGTGGATCCACCGGACACCTCTCAGTCGAGTGCCAAGGTTGAGCTCTTAGACCCTGGAGATTCGAGTATGCTGGTTGATAGGTTGCCCCCGTCCCATAGGGGTTCAGTACCACCGCCCCCGATGGAGGATGAGTCTCCTGGAGGTATTGCCCGAGATATGGATATGGAGGAGGGAATTGGGACGCAGGTCCCTACCTCGATCTGACGGAGGTGTTTCCGTCACCTTTTTCTCACTGTTTTATTATGAATTTTGCTTCATTGAATGTGCGGGGTGCAGCGTCTGATGCATTTAGGCGAGCTTTCCTTGCTCTGAAGCAACAGTCTGATCCTGATGTTTTTGTGATTTTTGAACCACGTATTAGTGGAGTGAATGCTGATAATTTCATTCGCCGGTGTGGTTATGCTCGGTCCTTTCGGGTCGAGGCTAATGGGTTCTCCGGCGGGATATGGGTTCTATGGAAGGAGGAAGTGGACCTCCAGGTGTTGGATTGCAGCCGCCAGTTTGTTCATACAAGAGTCTGCATGGGCGATCGGTCTGCTCTAGTGTCTTTCGTTTACGCTAGCCCTAGTCCTCGAATCTGTCGGTCCTTATGGGAGCGGCTAAATATCCTGGCACACCAAATTACTGGCCCTTGGGTGATAGGCGAGGATTTTAATTGTCTCCTTCGCATGTCTGATAAGCAAGGAGGGTCGCTTAAAAGCTGCAATATTAGTTCGACATTCGTGGATTGGGTTTTTGATAATGATCTTCATGAACTCAGGACGGATGGTGCTCGTGTGACGTGGTTTAGGAATGGCCTAACTGAGAAGCTCGATCGGTGGATTGGTAACGAGGCTTGGGCGGACATGTACCCGGATAGCATGGTGTTTCATCTTCCCCGGATGCACTCTGACCACACGCCCCTGTTAGTTCGTGCTTGCAAGATGCCCAGACCACATGGCTCGAAGCCGTTCCGCTTTCTGGCCCCCTGGCTCACTCACGAAGGTTTTGATTCTTTAGTGGAGACTGTTTGGTCTACTGGTGGACTGTATGAGGACAAGGTGGAGGACTTCTCCACCAAAGCTAAAGAGTGGAATACTCAAGTGTTTGGTAATATTTTCAACGTAAACGGCGGTTATTGTCTCGTATTGGGGGTATCCAACGAAAGAGTGATTACGGGAGAAACCCCTTCCTTCGTAAGCTGGAGACGCAGTTAAAGGGGGAGCTCGATGATGTTCTCTTACAAGAGGAATTGCTATCTCTCCAGAAGTCCCGACGGGACTGGCTCCTTTTTGGTGATCGTAATACCTCCTACTACCACCGGCTACTCAAGCATCGCCAGAGGAAAAATAAGATTGTCGTGCTTCAAGATGATACGGGCACGATGATTGAGGATCCAGAAGCCTTGCAGAGAATGGCTGTCGATTTCTTTAAAGCTATCTACTCAGCACCGGTGGTGAGACCGATCGGCCCTCGGCTCCCGGGATCGTTTCCGACCTTGGAAAAAAGCCACGTCCTACCCCTGGAGAGCGATATTTCGGACTCGGAAGTGGTCCTAGCATTGAAGAAAATGGCCCCGTTAAAAGCGCCAGGATCGATGTTCTGCATGCTCTTTTCTTTCAGCAGAAGTGGCGACATGTGGGTCCTTCGGTCTGTGCCTAGATTTCAGATACTTGGAGAGGTGGTGTAGTACCATCGTCCTTGAATAGGACCCTTATTGTGTTAATCCCGAAGGTAGAAAATCCGTTGTCCTTGAAACAGTTTCGCCCAATTAGTCTCCTCAATGTGGTCTATAAATTGATGACGAAGGTTCTCGCCGAGAGGATCAAGCCTGTGCTTTCGCTTCTTATTAATCCCGCTCAGGCGAGCTTTGTTCCAGGCCGGCAGATTACGGATAATATTATTATTGCTCAAGAACATATTCATTCGATGCGAGGGATAAAGGGGCGGAAGGGGATTATGGTGGTGAAGGTGGATTTGGAAAAAGCATGTGACTTCCTTCGGTGGGACTTTATTCGAGATACATTGGAGATGGTGGGATTCCCGAGTGTCTATGTGATGCGGTTATGGCATGTGTCACGTCGGCGACTATGCAGTTGCAATGGAATGGTGGTGTTAGCAAGGAATTCACACCTTCTCGTGGGGTTCGGCAAGGTGACCCTATTTCCCCGTATCTTTTTGTCTTGTGCATTGAACAACTGGCTCATTTGATCGACGCTTCTATAGCGTGTGGCGACTGGAGCCCGATTACGGTCGGGAAAGGGCAGGTCTCGGTTTCGTACTTAATGTTCGCCGGTGATTTACTTTTATTTATCAAAGCAGACTCGTCTCAGGCGACCATTTTGAAGGCTATCCTACAACAGTTTTGCGTGGCTTCCGGCCTGAAAGTGAGCGAGACAAAGACTCAGGTTTATTTCTTTTCTAATGTTGTCGTGGAGGAGCGTCTCTCTTTGGCCCGCCAGCTTGGATTTCAATGCGTCGATAACCTGGGTAAGTATTTGGGCATGCCGATCATTCACAGTAGGGTGAATAAGTCTACGTATGCCGCGATCGTAGAGAACACAGAGAAGCGCCTGGCTAGATGGAAAGCTTCTTCTCTTTCGATGGCCGGACGGGTCACCTTGGCTCAGTTGGCTTTGTGCACACTGCCGTACTTCTCCATGCAAACGGCGGCATTACCATACGGAGTCTGTGATAGTTTAGAGAGGAAGTGTCGTAATTTTATATGGGGAGGCACGGAGTCCGCTCGGAAAGTAAGCCTGGTCTCCTGGTCGGAGGTTTGTCGTCCGAAGGAGGAGGATGATTTAGGAATGAAGGATCAAAGGCTCATGAACCAGGCTTTGCTCATGAAAGTGGCCTGGAAATTCTTAACTCAGCCGCACTTGCTTTGGTGTCGAGTGCTTAGGGATAAATACTCGTTGGTTCCGTCAACGATGGGCGAAGACTTTGAATTCCCTCATGGCTCGATGGTAATCCGGTCGATTCGCAATGTATGGAAGGACACTTTGTCGGGGTGCCGGTGGTCTGTGCATAATGGCCTTCGGGCTCGATTCTGGTGGGATAAATGGCTAAACTATGATACCCCTTTGATTTGCTCTACGACAGCTCCGATTCCAGAGGCACTCCTTTTCGCCCCGGTGGCTGCTTTTGTATCGCCGACATGAGGGTGGGATTGAGCTTTATTTCAACATCTGCTTCCGGTTACGTGTATTCTTCGAATAGCAGCCATTCCGCAGCCATGTGCGACGAGCGGGGAGGACGACATTTTTTGGGGATTTTCTGCGGATGGCCGGTTTTCCACGCGAACGGCATACTTGGCGCTGGTGAACCATCCGGCAGGCGCAAGGACAGGCTGTGGAAAGTGGTTTGGCAGTGGGTGGGCCCGCAACGGGTGAGGTCGTTTCTGTGGCTCGCTGCTCGAGAGAGTTTATTGACTAATGAGACTCGATATCACCGACACATGGCTTCGAGCCCGGTCTGTGCGTTATGTTTTCAGGCGAGCGAGTCCACGGTACATGCTTTACGTGACTGCCCGGAGGCGACGCGGACGTGGCGGAGCTTGTTACCTCGGCAGTGCTGGGATGCTTTCTTCCCTTTGGACATGCGCCAGTGGTTGCTGGAGAACCTCACGGGGGATTTAAGCCGGGCCAGGGCTGATTGGGAGTCGTTGTTTGGGCTCACGGCTTGGAAAATCTGGAGGTGGCGGAACCTTAAGCTCTTTCAAGATTCCGACGTGTCTATGGCCCGGCGTCTTGACGAGGTCTTTTCGTATATGGATTTGATGCGTTGCACAACTATGGGGGGCCAGGTGGTAGGTATCCGTGGTACTCGGGTGCGACGATGGGTTTCGTGGTCGGGCCCGGACGTGGAGGAGTTAAAAGTCAATACGGATGGGAGCTTCGATCCGTCGACGGGAATGGGTAGCGCCGAGGGAGTTATCCGGGACCATGGGGGGAACTGGGTGCATGGATTTGTGATGAATATTGGCTTTTGCTCGATCGTGGGTGCGGAGCTGTGGGTCCTATTTCAGGGGCTCCTCATGGCTTGGGATATTGGGGCTCGTCGGGTTATCGTCGAAGTTGATAATCGGAGTATTGTTGAGATGATCAACCGGGTGCAGGTTTGTGGGCCGCATGGTGGATTGGTGCAAGGTATTAAGGAGCTGTTAAACCGGTGTTGGGAGGTAAGGGTCATTCATGGGTACCGGGAAGCCAACTTTGTGGCAGATTACTTGGCTTCCTTGGCGGCTAAATGCCCGGGCGGTTTGCAACGATTGGCGACACCTCCGTCGGGGGTGCTCACGTGGCTTCTTCATGATAGGATAGGCGTCGCCTATCCTCGGAGTGTTTTAACTTAGGCTTGACGTAGGTTTTGCCTCCTTTTCCTGTACCCNNNAAAAAAAAAAAAAAAAAAAAAAAAAAAGGTAATTTTACTTACTTTCCCAAACTATAAAACAAAGTTAGAGACAAAATTCGATCTCAGTCAAATTGAAAATATACAAAATAGTACTTTGTTGGGTTTCAAGCTTGGCCTTCACCGGTTCACCCTCAACAAAACTGCAAATCTTGTCCTGGGTCGGGAAGGTTTCAGTCATTTCTCACAATGCCGCCGCCCGCACCGCCGGCGACGGTGACCAAACCGAACAAGCCTTACTTCTTCTACGGCCACCGGAAGCCCACCAAAAACTACCCCACAGTTCGCGGCGGCCCGTTCTCCAACCGCCACATAATAAGCCCTAAGAAGTTCAGCCGCCCCACCTCCGCCGTGCACGAGCCCTTCGACCTCCAGAAGTGGGACCCGGACGATGAATTGAACCAAAGACGATCGTATGCGAAAGACCCGTCCGAGAAATTCTTCTCGCTGGCGACGAATCTGTCCCCTATTGCGAGGTATATAGTGGACGCTTTCAGAAAACATAAGCACTGGAGCCCGCAGCTTGTGGAGGAGCTTAATCGGCTGAGGCGCGTCACCCCGAAGCTGGTGACGGAAGTCTTGAAGTTTCCCAATGTTGATCCCAGGCTCTCCTCTAAGTTTTTTCATTGGGCTGGTATGCAAGAACCTATTTATTATTATTTATATATTGCAGTTTCATGGTTAGTTTTCTGCGTGTGGTTATGCTTCTCATTGTTTTCAATGTGATTCCACCTAATGTATTTTTTGTTACATAGTGTTATTTATTCAGAAGCATTGTTTTGTTTTTCCGGTTCTTGTGGATGTTTCATCGCTGAAAGCTTATTGCCTTCTTTTTCTTTAAAAAAAAAAAAAATGAACAGGCAAGCAGAAAGGGTATAGGCATGATTTTGCCTGTTACAATGCCTTTGCTTACTTTTTGAACCGAGCAAATCAATTCCGGGCTGCTGACCAGGTGCCTGAGTTGATGCATATGCAAGGAAAGTTGCCTAGCGAGAAACAATTCGAAATCTTGATTCGGATGCATGCTGATGCAAACAGGGGGCTCAGGATACACTATGTGTATGAGAAAATGAAGAAGTTTGGCGTGAAGCCAAGAGTCTTCCTATACAATAGGATTATGGATGGCTTGGTTAAGACTAATCACTTAGATTTGGCAATGTCGGTTTATGATGACTTCAGGGAAGATGGTTTGGTTGAAGAAAACGTCACCTATATGATTTTGATTAAGGGATTATGTAAAGCAGGACGGATGGATCGAGTGTTTGCCCTTCTGGATCAGATGAGGGAGAATCTGTGCAAGCCGGACGTGTTTGCTTACACAGCCATGATAAAAGTGTTGGTTTCAGAGGGAAATTTAGATGGATGTTTAAAGGTTTGGGACGAAATGCGGAAGGATTTTGTTGAGCCAGATGTCATGGCTTATTCAACTCTTGTTATGGCGCTTTGTAAAGGCCACCGCGTTGACAAGGGTTATGAATTTTTTAAGGAAATGAAAATGAAACACTATTTGATCGACAGGGCTATTTATGGATCATTGATCGAAGCATATGTAGTGGATGGAAGGGTGGGCTCAGCTTGTGGTTTGCTCAAAGATTTGTTGGACTCGGGATATAGAGCTGATTTGTCAATATATAACTCCCTTATCAAAGGCTTGTGTACTGCAAAACTCGTGGAAAGGGCTTATAAGCTCTTCCAAGCGACAATCCATGAGGATCTCAAGCCAGAATTTGATACTGCCATCCCCATATTGGTTTGTTATGCAGAGCTCAAAAGAATGAATGAGTTCTGCAAATTGCTTGAGCAAATGCATAAATTAGGTTTTCCTGTTGCTGATGATCTCACCAAATTCTTTTCCGCCATGGTACAGAAGAATAATGGAGTAGAAATGGCTTTGGAAGTGTTTGAGTGCTTGAAACGACAAAACTATATTACTGTATCAATTTACAATGTACTCATGGAGGCCCTATTCAAGAATGGTGAAGAGAAGGCAGCATTATCTCTTTTCAGCGAACTCAGTGGTTCCGATTTGGTGCCTGACTCATCGACTTACTGTAATGCGATTTTATGTTATGTTACAGCTGGAAATATTCAAGAAGCATCCAATTGTTACAACAAGATTATAGAAACATCTTCGGTTCCTTCAGTTATTGCTTATTGCTCTCTTGTTAAAGGCCTGTGTGAAATAGGAGAGGTTGATGCTGCCATGATGCTCATACGTGAGTGCTTAGCCAATGTGGAAAGTGGTCCCATGGAGTTCAAGTATACACTGACGATTATCCATGTCTGCAAGTCAAATGATGCCTGTAAGGTAGCTGATGTCATGAATGAAATGGTAGATCAAGGCTGTCCTCCTAGCAGTATCACTTGTTGTGCCATTATATATGGTATGTGCAAACATGGGACAATTGAAGAGGCAAGGAAAGTCTTTTCAGTTATGAGAGAGTCCAAATTTCTTACAGAAGCTGATGTGATAGTCTATGATGAGATGCTTATAGACCATATGAAAAAGACAACTGCTGATTTGCTGTTTTCTGGGATAAAATTCTTTGGTCTGGAATCGAGATTGAAGGCCAAGGGCTGTATGCTATTGCCCAGTTGAATATGTGATTACAATTTGGTTAACTTTCCTGATAAAAGTATTGCAAGTGCTAAGACTAGTCTTGGTTCAGTTCAATCAGTAGGTGAAACCTTTGAACCGGAAGTTGTTTCAGTGGATGATGTTACTTGACGATGGTATTCAGCTAAAATGCTAAAGTTAAAATCATACTTCTGTACATATTTAGTATTCAGACTGTCAGCATATAAGCTTCATTGTATGGTGAAGAGCTTGCTTATCTTGATCCAAAGATCATTTTCTGTTGCCTTCAGTTTGGTTTTGACCGCATCAGCTTTCTCGACAACTGGTATGTCATTGGAGCTTTGACTTGCTATTTAAACTGAAAGAAAAAAGAAAGGTGGAAATGCATTTTTTTTAATGACCAAGTGGCTTCCAAAGTATTTTTGTTCTTGGAAAAAATGCATAAAGGTGATTATTCCCTTGGTTGTTGGCTAATTTAAAGTTCTACTTCCAATAACGAATGCTGCAAATCCTAATGAAGTCACTCTTTTCAGGCCCGCGGCCGCCCGCCGAATGACAAACAAAGCACGGCATGACACTCGAAGCATGGAATGCTTGTATACATCTAAGGTTTATGGAATTCATGCTTTAATTAATGCACCTGCAGGTGCTTGTTCGCTGGGGTGCTGTTTACTCAACTCATTGGGTCATGCTTGAGGACCTGTAGTGCAAGTTTTGACCAGGCAAAACTCCTACGTGGCCGGAGGCACTTTCAGTTACCGTTCGCCCATTTGTAGTGAAATGGCGTTGTACAAGTAATGTTTGGATCTAACTTAATCCAATGAGCACATTCTTAGTATGATATTCTAAGAATTTTCCGGTAGCTTGCTTAAAAAAAAAAAGAATCTCGCTGGTGTCGGCAGCTTCCTATTTTGCTGGGTGAAGAATGCTGTCATTTGAATTTTTGAAGTGTTGTAGCAGACCGGTTGGTCTTGTGTTAGGTCGACGTACATTTTTTACTAATATGCACTCATTAGAAAATGTTGTCACCCAGAAAAAAATAACATAAATAGAAGTAAGATATTTGATAATGAAAGTATATTTTTGTTCAAATAGTATGACGGATCGACCAGTTTAATGGTTATGAAGGTTCGATTTGCCTAATGGTTGGGTTGCCTCACACAGGAATTTGTGCTGGAATAGATATAAATGGATTAAGCTGTATTTAACTATTTATGGTGGAATACATATAAATGAATTACTGATGCATCTGTTGTAGAGGTGGTCCTGGCCGACCCTGTAACCGGCCCGGAACCGACATGTATGTACAGGTCCTTGAACCAGACCCGTGGTAATATCGGGCCGGTTCCGAGTCTTGGTTTTTTTTTATAACCCGCCGGTTTCAGGTCGGAAGATGGGTGGGCATTTTTCTTTTTCTATTAAAAAACCAGTGGTTCAATGAATCACCAGTTCGGGCTGCTTCAATGAACTGATCCTTACATATAGCCGGGCCAATTCTGAGCCCATGTTTTGAGGCCCGGCAACCCGCCGGGCCGGGCTGGGTCGTGCAGCAGTTGGCCATGTCCAATCTGTTGTGGTCTGTTAATATTTTTCTTTTTTTTTTTGTTTTCTTTGCTAGATATGAATTATCCAAACGGTTTGATATGAATACAATCTTACCTAAATAATACATCATGTTACTTATCCAGTTATTATGAAGAACAAAAGGGAGAAATCCATTGGCGCAATAAAGTTAATATATCATGATGTCAATAACAATATGATATCCCTCAAGGCTTATTACAAGTGCAGTAATGATATAATCAATAACACTTGTTAACATAAGCAGCATCTTTTTCAGTTGTCACTGTAATATAATAGAAGCCAAATGGATTCTCTGTTAGGAAAAATCTGTTCACCAGTACAACGGCTTCAACAGAATCCAAGATTTCGGCCTTTT